TTATCTGTTATTCACTACTTATTATTTATCAAATTTTAATCATTATACTAAATACACTCTAAATGATTTTTAAGAGAGTAAGTAAAAAGTAGAAAAATATTGATTTGGAGGAGGTAAAAATAATTTTTTTTATTTACGGAGGGAATTTTTTTGTTAACCTTTGGAGGGAATTGATCATGTCCAAAAGTCTCCCTCTAGGCTTGTTTGGTTGAAGTTTCTTTGGAAAACTGAATTTGGAAAAGCTGACCAAAATTCAGATTGGTTTGGATCAAGAAATTAAATTTTTTGGCACAAAAATTAAGATGAAGCATGTATAATTGATGATAATGAAAATGTAAGTGATTATATGCTTTCTTAAGATTTTTTTTTTTTTTCAGGATTTTTTGGTTCGGAATTGAGGTAGTTAATTATTTTTTTAGAAACAAGCGATTATAGTTTTATAATCCATTATATACCTTTTGTAATCACTTATATTTTCATTATAATTAATTATATTTTATCTCAATTTTTGTGCCAAAAAATTTAATTACCTGGGCCAAGCTAACCTAATTTTTTGGTGAACTTCCCTGGATTCTTTTTCCGGGAGAAGCTTCAAGCAAACAGGTTCTTAAGAAAAAATGGGCTCAAAAGTGGGCCCTCAATAAAAATCCTTTGGGCTTTGGTTTTTCGGTCATTACCCATTAGGAGGCTGTTATCGGGCTTCTATTTTTAGGCTGCACATTGGAGCCCGCCCAAATGTACTGACCAAAAAAAACTCGAACACAGACGGTAAAAAGCCCTCTCGTCAGTTCTCGGTCCGTTGACCGAAGCTTTGCCCACCTCTAAAGCAACAGTAGGACTGCACAATTGGTTCAATTTTTATCATAATTTAATTATTAAAAATAATTAATAATTAATATATATATATTGAACGGCCCGCTCCGGTCCAGTGGTATTGGATCCTAGGTTAGGACTGTTCACCTCAGGTGGGTTACACATTCGAGTCCCACGGATTCCCTTCTCTCCTCCCCCAATTAACCCTGTAAATAATTACAAATTGTTTAAAAAAATAATAATTAATATATATTATTTAAGAGATTAGTACTTTTCGAAAGATTAAGAGGAAAATTATTTCAAAACTAAGTAATTTTAATAAAGTATTATAAAAAAATAAAAAACATTCTAATTTATACATTTAAAAATAAAGTATTTTAGACTTTTTCAATAGACATTCATTAAAACAACATAATTTTGAAATAATTATTTTTTTAATTTTTCAGAAGTAAAGTAAATAGGCACTATTTCTATTATTTAAATTTATTATTTAATAAATTAAAATCAGTTGATAAAAACATATTTTAGGTTGTTCTGTGTAGGAAGATTTAATCTTTTTATTTTTATTTTTGAAAGTCAGATTTATCTTTTTCTTTTTTTCGGAATACAATAGATAGAGTTAGATACTGATTAACTTGTTGCAACATGCACTAATCTGATGGGCAAGAAATTAAGTTCACCAAACTGGATATACATACTATTGGTGACGGTTCCAGTTAGAGTATATACAATGGGAATAATCAAAAACACATTTTGATATCATATAATTATAATTAATATTATTTTATATAAACTCATATTTTTATATATTTAATTCTTAAATAAAATACTTAATAGAACACTTTTAATAGACAACTTTTTAAAAATCAAAAAATTAATATTTTATT